ACCCCACCCTCTGCCCTTACCCCCCCCCCACTGTCCTCATCCATAGGTGTACAATTTTTTTCCGGTCTCTTCCCACACCCCCATACCCCTTTCCCCCCGAGAATTGTCAGTCCACTCCCTTTCTATGCCCCTGATTCTATTATATTCACCAGTTTATTCTGTTCATCAGATTTTTATTCACTTGATTTTTAGATTCACTTGTTGATAGATATGTACTTGTTGTTCATAATTTTTATCTTTACCTTTTTCTTCTTCTTCCTCTTCTTAAAGGATACCTTTCAGCATTTCATATAATATTGGTTTGGTGGTGATGAACTCCTTTAGCTTTTTCTTGTCTGTGAAGCTCTTTATCTGACCTTCAATTCTGAATGATAGCCTTGCTGGGTAAAGTAATCTTGGTTATAGGTTCTTGCTATTCATCACTTTGAATATTTCTTGCCACTCCCTTCTGGCCTGCATAGTTTCTATTGAGAAATCAGCTGACAATCTTATGGGTACTCCCTTGTAGGTAACTGTTTTTCTCTTGCTGCTTTTAAGATTCTCTCTTTGTCTTTTGCTCTTGGCATTTTAATTATGATGTGTCTTGGTGTGGTCCTCTTTGGATTCCTTTTGTTTGGGGTTCTCTGCGCTTCCTGGACTTATAAGTCTATTTCTTTCACCAGGTAGGGAAAGTTTTCTGTTATTATTTCTTCAAATAGGTTTTCAATATCTTGCTCTCTCTCTTCTTCTGGCACCCCTATAATTCGGATGTTGGTACGCTTGAAGTTGTCCCAGAGGCTCCTTACACTATCTTCATATTTTTGGATTCTTATTTCTTTTTTCTTTTCCAGTGGGGTGTTTTTTGCTTCTTCGTATTTCAAATCTTTGACTTGATTCTTGGGATCCTCTAGTCTGCTGTTGGATCTCTGTATAATATTCTTTATTTCAGTCAGTGTATGCTTAATTTCTAGTTGGTCCTTTTTCATATCCTCGAGGGTCTCACTAGATTTCTTGAGGGTCTCGCTAAATTTATCAGCGGTTTCTAGAAAATTCTTGAAAAATCTTATAACCATGGTTTTGAACTCTATATCCAGTAGTTTGCTTTCCTCCATTTCTGTCATTTGTGACCTGTTTCTTTATCTCCGCATTTTGGCTGCTTCCCTGTGTTGATAGAGTGGCTTTCTGTGCTAAGTGTCCTATAGGGCCCAGTGGCTCAGCCTCCCCAATTACCTGAGGTGGACACTCTTGGTGCACCCCTTTGTGGGCTTTGTGCATAGTCTTGTTGTAGTTAAGCCTTGATTGTTGTAGGTATCACTGGGAGTAATTGACCTCCAGGCCAATTGGCTGTGAGAATCAGCTGTGTCTACGGTGGGAGAACTTCTGTGCTGGAGACACCCTTATGGGGCAAGACTTGATTCAGTGGGGCTTTGGTGCTCACTGAGTCTGCCCCCTGAGTGTGTCCCTTATGGATCTGAAGAGTTGTAATCTGGATGGTCCCACTCTGACCACTGGGTACACTGGCTCTTGGAGCTCTAAGGAGGTGCTAATTTAGCCTCTGCCTGAGGCTACCCAGCAGGAGCTACAGAGAGATCTGCAGATTCCTTTTCCTTGTTTGGGGTTTGGGGGTGCCCAGATGAGGCCCAGCTGTGAAGCAATGCAAGCTGCTGTGGGGCCTTGGGCCTTCTTTTGGATGTTCTGACCCAGCTGCAGTTTGTTAGGTAATTTTAGATTGCAAAGGGCCAGGCCATTCATATGCAAAAGCCTCTGTGCACAGCTTGGGTGGGGCAGGGTCTCAGGGAATCAACAGGGCAGAGTAAACAGCTATGGCTGATCCTCAGCCCTGCCCTAAGAGGCCCCTGGTCTCAGTGACCCGGTAATCGCTGAAAGCACCTCTGAGAGAAAGCCGCCCTCGAGTTCCGAGTTCTGCCCGCTGCCAGACAGTCCAGTTTCTCCCCGTATGAGTCTGGGTCCCCAGAGACTCGCCCGGAACTGGAGTTCAGTTCAGTCGGGAGTGTGTGTCTCCCTCCCGATTGAAAAAGACAACCACATCCTGAGTTGCCAGCCCTTTCTGTGTATGCCTCCGTACCTCTGCACTTTACTTCCGCACCTCCTCTGAGTCTCAGTGTGCTTTTCTCTTTCCTTCTAGTTGTAGAATTTCCACTCAGCCAGCCTTCCTGTGGTTCTGGGTGATGTCCGTTTTGTCTTTTAGTTGTATTTTTGAAGTGGTTGTGTGAGGCAGCAATTTCCGGTGTTTACCTATGCCGCCATCTTGGTTTCTCCCCTATCTTATTTTTTTTGCTGTTAAAGAGTAATGCTGTTATGAGTATCTTTATATATGTCTCTCTTGTTTTTAAACCCATAATTAGGCAAATTTCAAACCAACAAAGCTGAGAGAGGAGTTGAAATCAACTCTCAAGTACAGTCTTGTGTCACGCATGTCCTTATCAACTTCACCCACCCCGTCCCCTCCTCCATAAAGCCCTGGCTGCATTTGTATGGAGTAAATCCCAGATATAATATACTTTTACCCATAAATATTTTTGTCTATTAAGCTTTTTAAAAAAACATAACTATAATAGAATGTTTATTCCTAACAAAAGAATTCCTTGACATCAAATATCAGTTGGTGTTCAGATTTCCCTAATAATCTAAAATGTTTTAAACATTTTGTTTGGTCAACTCAAGATCCAAATAAGACCATATTGCAATTGTTTGATATGTCTCTTAAGTCTTTTAATATTTAGGTCCCTACTCTCTCTGTATTATTTTCTTTCATTTTATTTATTGACGATACCAGCAGTCCTACTTCATTTTTCAGAGTCTCAATTTTGCTGATTGTATTCCCATGATGTCATATAACACATTCCATCATTCACTATATTTTATTTGATAAATAACTTTTGTAGTACATTCGTAGGAAAAATTATTTGCAGTAAGTTTATTGAGTTGAAGGGTATGTTCATTTTAAATTTATTAGGAAATTTTTCTCCAGATAGGTTTTATCTGTTTATGTCTCATGCTGTAAATATGTGTAATTCAGTGGATATCTAAGAATGGTAGATGTATTTTGATCATTACCAAACTCTAGTTAGAACACTTATTTATCTCAGAACTTGCTTTTTTTTCTCTTGGTTGTATGTTCAAGAAATAGCTATTATGTTTTGTACTGATTCATTATGACTGTATATTATTACATTGATTTTATATGATAAGTAAATATTCTGATTATGTTTGTTGTTTTTTTGTCTTACGATCACAGATACATAACAATAGACGGAGCCTTTAGATTATTTTCTTGTTGGAATTAAATGAGATTCTGATTATTTTTCTGAAATTGTATGCGTTTTAGGGGTATGACAGAAGGAGTTACGCTGTTAATCCTGGCGGTGCAGACGGGTCTCATCGAGCTGCAGGTGGTGCACCGGGCATTCCTGCTCAGTATTATCCTTTTCATTGTTGTAGCTTCTATCCTACAGTCTATGCTGGAGATTGCAGATCCTATTGTTTTGGCGCTGGGAGCATCTAGAGACAAGTAAGAAACTTCCCAAGAGAAGTTTTTGTAGTGAGTTTGTTGTCTGAAGATTTGGGTAATGTTTACAGGCAGAAAATGGATGAATAATTGGTATTAATTTAAGTTAAGAAACTTAGATTTTAATTTTTTTTATATGGCTGACTTTTCTGTTATTTATTTCTTTCTCTCTCAAGATTCCTATAGTTAAAATTAAAAGTCATATCAAAGGCCATTTATTACAAATAAACTTTTCATCAGAGAAATTTAATACTTTTTATAATTGTCCAGTTTTAAAATGAAGAGCATAGAGCATAAAATTTATTTTAGTAAATACAGCAATTAATACATTATTTTATTCTGTGTAATGCTGAAGGAGAGAAAGCATTGAGAGAAATGTAAACGAAAGAAAAAGACTGGAGGCAATCAGAGACAGGCATTTATGGAGTAACAACCTCATCTGATGGCCTTTTAGACAGTTGCAACTTACTAAGGTTGCATTGGGGAATCTCGACATCTTATGGTACCAGATAAAATTGATGGCTGGATTCATGTTCATCTCATATAACAGAAAGTTTAAGGAATAAAAGTCATTAACATAGCTCTTTAAGATACTATTTTGACTTACTGTAGTTAATACAAGGATATTCTATAAGGAATTGCTTAAAATTCAGTGCCACTTTTTTTCCCCAGCATCTATCTACACTGATTATTGATTATTGAAATATCTGCTTTTATTGCTTATTTGGTAGTGTTTAATGAGTAAGGGAGCAGGCAGTGTTTTGGGAGATAGAATTTCAACAGCAGATTTTTAAAACATTCCAAATTAGCATTTTATGTAGTTCATCAGGTTTATCTTTTTATCCCCAGATAAGAAACCCTTCTAAGGTGTCTTAGAAGCATTTAAGATGTTGAACTCAATAGTGAACTCAGTTAATAGCCACTTTAATTGGATTGTTTTTGATTTAAGTACTATTTTGTCTGGCAATATTCTTTAGTATTAATGAAGCATATGTCAATAAGATTAAGATAATCCTATAGAAAGTTTGGGCAAGAGAAAGAAAAAAACACATAATTCCACTGCCATAAGATTTTTATTGAATTTTAACTGCTTAAATAAGGAGGTAATATGTTTGTGTATATATGTATAAACACAAAAATTAGATATAAATTTAAAGCTCTTTGCATATTATTCTAGTAGAGCCTTAGGAAGCTTAGTCTGGCTGGCGGTGTCCAAGATAGGTCACTGGGGAGGAAGAGCAGCTAGTAGGTCTTGCATCAGTTTTTCCTCCAACCTCAGCACATGTGAGGATTAATATACCTGTCATCAGAGAGCATTCCTCTCACTAACCCTGCACTCACGGGAGCCAAGATTTTCATCACAGTGGAGTGGGCCGGGAGAGGGGGGATGGTGATGGCATATAACTTAATACAAGTTACTGTTAAAATTGTTAAGGTTTAATGCTACGAAAGCCTGAAATTGCTTTCAAATAACTAGGACTGGGAATGAAACTGAAAGCAAACTGTTGAGGAAAAAAAGAATTGATGATGCCTGGCAGTGGCTGAGTGTGGAGAGTAAGAGAAAAGAAGCAAGTCGGGTGGACACACCGGGCCTAAGCCATGACCTGCCCTGACCTTTAGTGCAGTGACCGGCTGGTGAAGGGTGCTTAGGACGGTATTTGTAAAGAGAAGCATGACAAATACCTGTTAGCTGGGAATGTAATGGTTGTGTTACCAGGTAACAGGCACTTTAAAAGAATACCTTTCTTTCTCTAGGAGTTTATGGAAACACTTCCGTGCTGTGAGCCTTTGTTTATTTTTACTGATATTCCCCGCTTACATGGCCTACATGATTTGCCAGTTTTTCCACATGGATTTTTGGCTTCTTATCATTATTTCTAGCAGCATTCTTACCTCTCTTCAGGTAAGCCAAAGTTATTAACTTTGTATAATGACTAAAACTTTTTAAGGATTCATGATAATATGTGGCCTATGTAGGTGATTACTTCCCACCTTCTTTACTAAAATATGTGACATTTATTTGAGCATAGGAGTTGAAGGTAAGTTTATTAAAACACTAGGCTGTCCTGTCACTGTATTCTATTTTATCAAGGTAATTAAACTTTGTACTTTCTCTTTTTCAAAATGGTATGATACAGAGCTGTTATGTAAATCATAAATTGAAATAATTACAAAATATTAAAAGATTTTAGCACTTGTTTGGAGCACTTTTTTTTTTTTTAGTAAATACCATTCAGAAATAAATATCCAGTTTCATGATGTTTATAAATACATGACGTGTGTATTACACACACACACAGTATTGCCCTGAAAATGATAAGCTTATTGTAACTCGAAGGTGGATCTTTGCTGCCTGATCCATAGGAAGTAAAAGAAAAGGTAGCACTGGCAATAAATGTTTATTCACTGTTCCTTGTAGAAGTAACAGTTCTTTCAAAGTGGAGGAACATGTATGACTACAGACTGAGGAAAATTTAGATAGAATTTTTATGGGTTTTGGTGACCTAGGGAGGAAGGAAAGAGTCGGGAGAAAACTAATTACTAATTAGAACTGTTTTAGGAAAGTTGTGTCTCAGGGTATGGCTTTTTGGTATCTAATACCTGGATTACTGAGATCACTCACCCACATTTTAATTATGCCACTGTCTCTTCTAGATATTAATATGGCATCCAAAATTATTAGGAATTTGTTCATGTTTAACGTCTATGGAAAACCTTTCACAGTGATCATATTCTGTTTTAATGTACATGCTTTTTCTTTCAGGTTCTGGGAACACTTTTTATTTATGTCTTATTTATGGTTGAGGAATTCAGAAAAGAGCCAGTAGAAAATATGGATGATGTCATCTACTATGTGAATGGCACTTACCGCCTGCTGGAGTTTCTTGTGGCGCTTTGTGTGGTGGCCTATGGCGTCTCGGAGACCATCTTTGGAGAGTGGACAGTAATGGGCTCAATGATCATCTTCATCCATTCCTACTACAATGTGTGGCTTCGGGCCCAGCTGGGGTGGAAGAGCTTTCTTCTCCGCAGGGATGCTGTGAATAAGATTAAATCATTACCTCTCGCAACGAAAGAGCAGCTTGAGAAACACAATGATATTTGTGCCATCTGTTATCAGGTAAGTCACACAGTAAGAATCCATATGGGTGGGTCATACTGTATCCTTTGGTGTTTCCCTTGGGACATTAACTACATTATCCAGATTCAAGTTAAATTCCGGGGCAGAATTATCTCCTGGGTACAAAGAACGTGGGCCTCAGAAATGATTAGACCTGATAAAATATTTCCATTTTATTTCTAAATTTAAGTTTTTAATTTAGTTCCTCAAATTCTGATATATTGTTATTTTCAACATTATTGCTCACCCATATATAAAGGAAAAACAGGTCAGGTGTATTTTATATTTTACTCCTGAGTTTATTTACACACACACACACACACACACACACACATACACACACATACACATATATATATGCACTATCAAATATATACGGTAACTCAGGAGTCAGCAACTTCTGAAAAGTGGTGTGCCAAGAATCAACTCTTTTTCTTCTGGTATTCCCAGGGTGGGGAAGAAGTGTTCCTTTACTTTCCATGGGTGGAGAGAGTATGTGCTACCTGTGGTGGATATCTGCGATGGTTACAAGTCTGTGTGTGTGGGTGGGGTGGGCACATATGGTAGAGGCAACCAGTTGGTGTCCCATTGCATTGGCCTACCTTTGGCACATGTGCCATGTATTGCTGATGATTACCTTCTATTAAAAATCTAAAGATGCTATTTAAATCAGCTTGAAAAATATAACAACAAAAAAACAGGCCTAGAGTTTAGTCACCAGTCACCTGTGCAAAGGGGTGATTGAGTAGCAGCTTTTACAGCTCAGCGGTACTGTTGGGAGTGTGGACAGCAATGATGGGCAGCAGCAGAAGCTGTACGTGTAAAGCAGGGGTGGGGAACGTCCAGCCCTCAGGCCATATAAGGCCTGTGAAATCATTTGGTCTGGCCCTGCCAAGGCATTAGGGGTGAGTTAATTAAATGTTTGACCAAATATAGCTGGCTAATTTTTAAGTTGATAATTTTGTATGGCCTCCAGGTAATGTTATAAATATTCAAATGGCCCTTGGCAGGAAAAAGACTCCCCCACCCTGCTCTAAAGTCACTCTTGGAGTGTGGTGAGTGTGGCCCGTGATAAAGCCGCAGAGTGTCAGTGAGGACACAGAAAACGTCCTCCCTCCACGGCTGCTAGACCATCTAGATAGAATTTTTTTCTTAAGAGTAAAAGGCATTTATGTACCACGCTTTATTGTTATTAGAACACACTTTTGGGTACTAGCAAAATACTGTTTTTTGGGTTGTTTTTGCATTTGAGGGGACTTGGCGTATAGTTTAGGTTCCCCGAGTTAAGTGGTCGCTGTTTTAGTTCTGGCTCCTTGGTGCTCAGCACCTTGTCATGTGCAGGACAGAGCCCAGCAATGACAGATTCAGGGCACAGCAGCTTCAGTGGCCAGCCTGTGTACAAATATGCCAGTGCTGGGATTTGAGTCCTCTTTCTATTTCCTGTTGTCACATCACTTTTTTTGAGGTGCTTGAACTACCTGCTGATGCCACACAGAAAATGGAAGTCAAATTGCTTAACTTCCAAGCTGGCTGCATTTCCTTGGATGGCTTTCTGCTTAATAGTTGACTCCCAGGTGTTACCAGCTCTTGACAAGGGATTTCTAGAAATTCCTTGTTTTGGGACTATAAATAACCCTAATTGTCAGTTCACCAAATTATAATCTTAAATTTAAACTTCATGTCCTCAGTCTTCCCTCCCCAAATATATCTTAAGTGAGGAATATTAATGCAAAGTCTACCACTTCGTATTCCAGTGGTTATTGAACTTGAATATGCATAAAAGTCATGCAGGTGGCTTGTTGTAACTAGATTTGTGAACGCCATCTTCAGTTGTCAACTTCTGGCCCACGCATATGCATGGTTAACCAGCGCTCTGGGCAGTTCTGATGCAAGGTGAGAAACACTGGCTCGGCTTATACAGACCATATCTTAAAAATTGGATATTTACATTGAAATTGAAATTATTTCCTCACCAGTACCCTGGTATTTTGTGGCTGATTTTGTCTCCTTGCCAATAATCTCATCTGTTCAACTGTGGCAAAGCCCTGCCTTCATCACATTTTCTGAGGTTCTGATTATACTTGTGCCATACCTGATAGAGACCCAGTAATTCTTCTGCTTTCTACAGTTCTGTAATCCTCGCATTTCATACAAGGTAGAAACCAGTAAAGAGGTCATTTCTTCCTCGTTTTTGGCTTTTACTTATTTTAAAAAATTATTTAGCCAGTGGTTCTTGCATTATTTGTAATGTGGGGGCGGGGGGGGGGGTCTCTGATGGCAAGAGGATTATTACTAAAATATAAAATGAGTTTTAACCTAAGATTTGTGTTACAAATTTTCTTTGGGGAATTGTGGGGGAAAATGGCAACTATAACTTTTGGGGATATCATCAAAGATTGTAGATAATAAACACTTATGAAGTATCTTTATTCCCCATTAGGATATGAAGTCTGCTGTGATCACACCTTGCAGTCATTTCTTCCACGCAGGCTGTCTGAAGAAGTGGCTGTATGTCCAGGAGACCTGCCCCCTGTGCCACTGCCACCTCAAAAACTCTTCCCAGTTCCCAGGGTCAGGGACAGAGCCGGCTCCACAACCGCGTGCTGGAGCCGAGGATAACGCTGTACATCAGGAAGGGACCCAGCCGGCTCCACAACCGCGTGCTGGAGCCGAGGTTAACGCTGTGCTTCAGGAAGGGACCCAGCCTGCTCCACAACCGCGTGCTGGAGCTGAGGATAACGCTGTGCGTCAGGAAGGGACCCAGCCTGCTCCACAACCACGTGCTGGAGCCGAGCAAAACGCAGTGTGTCAGGAAGGGACCCAGCCTGCTCCACAACCACGTGCTGGAGCCGAGCAAAACGCAGTGTGTCAGGAAGGGACCCAGCCTGCTCCACAACCACGTGCTGGAGCCGAGGAAAACGCACTGCATCAGGAAGGGACTGCACCTTCAGACCAAGAGCATCCTCGAGGGACCGGAGTGGAAGAAGGTTCCAGAGACAATAATGAGTGCATTGCCAGCAGATCAGGTAGCCAGGAAGGGACTTGTGAGCCCATGGAATAGCTTCTTGGTGCAAAAGATGAAGCATGTCCTGCTGAGGTCAACCCAGAAGAAAAGCAGCAGGAGTAACGCCGTGTATGCTGGCGGGGAGGCTAACTCTGATGGAATTTGTGCCCAGATTTGAGAAACAAATACATGGGGTGATTAGGTGGGAAATTTGACATTCCAAGGATCTAATCCAGGAAGTACTTACTCTCAGTGGAGACCACCTGCTTTCATGCCCTTGACATTGTGGGAGAAATTTTGCAATGTATGCTAATCAAAATGTATTTATATATCCTATGCTGATGTTTTGTAGAGGTTTGCCAAGGAAATTTAACCTCAACAACTTCAGAAACTGTCCCTGATTTGTCAGGGATAAATAAAATCAGATTTGAGTGTTTGAAAGGGGCTAAAGAAAGGAAGACAACATAAGGACAGTCTGGGAAGAGGCAGGCAGAGTGGAACTGACATTTCACTTTCTATGGGACAGGATCCTTTTTGTTACAGAATATGAGTAGTGACCAGCCCCTTTCTCCACCCCCTTTTCCCTCAGCTAATTGGAACTCAGTCTGGTAATTATTGAGTTTTGTACAGCACTGATTGAAATCAAAGATATAAAAGCATTAATTGTATCCAGAGATTGAAACATGCTCATACTTTGTATGTGCTTTCGGGGAGGGGCGGGTGGGCATTTGGCCTCAGGTACATTCACGTAACCTGAGACTCTTGAACTTTCTGATGGAGTCCTCAATATTTTGTGTATATGAAACTTTTGTTAATATATCGTACACTGTTGGCTGTGTGAAGTAATCTAAAACTCTAATGAACACTTTGGAGTCCACATTAGTGTGGGAGACCGAAGTGGGAAGGGCTTTAGGGCACTGATATAGGCCTTGTGTACTTTTCAATCCTGTGTAATGTTTAGTTCTTGCAACTGAATCAACAGTGTTAAGTTATGGCAATATTTGCACTTGGGAATGAGTACATAACTGTATGATCACATTGCAAATGCCACTTTTAAAGCTGTTAATAGACTTTGCACCTTTTCTTTGATAAGGATGTGTCATATTTAAATTTTTACATTCATCATGGCTACAGGTAGACCTGGGGGGGGGGGATACAATTTTTTATGGGAATTTTGATATGAAAAGAAACTAGTCATTTATTTATACAATAGGCTTGGTTCAGAATGTTTTTCAGACTTGGTACTCCTAATGTGGGTTGTGACTTTATTTCATTTTTAGTAGCAAATTTGGATGTAGACTGACAGACATAGCTGAATGTCTTAATAAATTTAAATTTGAAGATAACTATGTTTTTCCCCCCTGTGATTATTATTATTATAAAGTGTTTTGTTTTTAGGAGACTTTTCCCCCCTCTCCAGCTGGGTTTATATCTTGATCTCTGTTTAAAATGACGTGTAGATGACAAAATTTTTTGCTTGAAAAAGGGCCAGTTCTTTGAAATCTCCTACACCAGTGATAGCAGACTCAGCTCTGCACTAGAGCATCTGGAGAACTTTTTTTAAAAAGTACACGTTTTTTAACACCACTTCAGACCCATTGAATCAGCTTCGGGGGAGCCTGAGAGCGTGCACTTCAGAGCTCCTGGGTGGTTTTATCCAAGAGCTCCTGGGTGGTTTTATCCAAGACTGACACTAGTGGCTAGATTAGGATGAATTTCTCCCTGGTGGAGCTCGAAGTTTCCCACCATCCTATTGGTGAGCCAGGTTAGGCAGCAAAAAGAGCAGATGGCTCCCTCTAGTGGTGGTCAGGCTATTGTGCAAGACCTAGCAGCGATCTCTGATTTAAAATGGGTTTTTGGCCTTTGTGGAAAAGGTAAGTGTTCAAATATTAACCTTTTTGGTGCCTCGTTTGAAGGAATTAAAATTGCAGGTGAAGTTGAAATCATTTGTGTCACGGTGACCTTGTCCAGCCTTTAGCACCATCTACACTTATGACCAAAGAACTCTCACGCACACCTAAGGAAAAGTAGATGTTTAATAAAAGCAGGGGCTTCTTTGGCACCAAGTTTCACATTAGAATGCACCTTTTTTTTTTTTACCTCCTAATAGCAAGGAGACCCCAGCTGTACTTGCCAAGTTGCAGGAGCCTCTCCGTTACTCAGTCTACCTGTTAATGCTTTTGTTTCCGTCAGGAGAGTTATCTTGTGTTGTAGTGACGAAAACCCTCCCAGTCTCAGTGGTCCTAAAACAACAAAGGCTTATGCCTCACACACATCGCATTTGTGTCTGTTTGCTTTGGAGCAGACACTCGGGGATCTAGGCTGCGTGGAACAGCCAGTCTTGAACCTTCTGATGGTCATGACCCAGAGAAAGGGCTCTGGGAGGCTTAGCAAGTACATGCTCCTCCCAGTGGTGGGTGCACGTCTCTTCTGGTCATCACCCTTCATCACCCCGTGGCCGCAACTGTGGTCGCACCAGCACACGAGGTTGTGGACGTTCAGTCTTCCTCCTGTGGTCTGGGAAGAGGACACAGCAGTGCTGATGACTACCACACCTCTGTTGAAGCAACATGTACTTTTATTTACTCATTAAAAACTTGGGAGCACACCTGTGAATTCTTCAAAATATACTGGTTGGTTGAGAACCTCTGACCTAATTAGCTGCTTGTTCTAATATGCCAGGACGGTCGGTAGCATTGTCTAATGCCATCTGTCATTCACATTTCTGTTTCCCAGCCATGTTTCCAACTCCCTGCCAGACTTTGGACCTGAGAAGACAGTTTAACCACCTAGTTTGTACCACAGAAGAGAAAACAAGAAAATCAGATCAGATTTCCCTTATACTTGATCAAATGAAGAGAGAAAATAGCACATTCCTGATGGGCCCTTTTTAGGCCACTTTTCCTGTCCACTTAATTTCTCGGACAGTGTGTATGTACTTTTCACCCATGATCACTTTTCTCTTAGAAATTTTATTCCCTTATGAACTTTGACATCAAAGTTAGTACTAAACAATCTCAATTCTCATACTAGTTATTAGTGTATATTTCTAGTTTGTGTTGTTTCTCATGCTAGAAAGCTGTGTTGAGGTCTAAATCATGCTATTTGCACAGCATGTCTTTATAGAGGTCTGGTTTTCTTTTTTTGTTAATCCTCACCCAAGGATGTTTTTTCCATTAATTTTTAGACTGGAAGGGAGTGGGGGGTGGGCGGGGGGGGGGGAGAAATAACAATGAAAGAGAGACACACCGATTGGTTGCCTCTCACTTGAATCCCCTCGTAGTCCAGTGGCCGGGTACTCCTTAGCCCAGAGGCTGGGTCTGCCATGAGTCTCACTCCTTGATTGTCCCTGTTCTGAGCTGTACTCCATTCCCCCACGGAGCTGGTCCCACAGGTGTGAGCTACAGGTGCTTGGAGTCCCCCTTGCTTTTGCCTTGTTGCACCATCTGAGGCAGTGTCTGCGGCTGGGACCCAAACACTGTTTCTGACTAATTACTTAGATCAGGCAAAGCCTCCAGAGACCTGCTTCTGCCTGCAGACTGATTGGATTCAGCCTTGAGTAACCTTGCAATTGTCCACAGGTGGGGTGAGAGGTTTTCCAACTGGGTGGGGGGATTGTTTTTGCCTGGAGGCTAATTGTTATTCTCAGTTTCTTAATGGGCCTCAGAAACTCTGCACAGCACCTTAGGGCAAGGTGTTTTCCATTAGGGTGGGTCAACTGCCTTCCCCCCTAGGCAAAAACCACCTGGATAGCAAAGGTCAGCCCGAGAAAGAAGACCTCTGCAGCATGAGGAAATGACTCAGGAAACTGGGGTGTCTGCCTTCCAAGCGCTAACCCCAGAGCCCCCAACCCTGGCTTCTGCTCACCCAGCTCCAATCCATTCTGCACTCCCTCTGCTGGAGCCCAAGGTGAGTGGCTGTACACAAAATTTTGTGCTATGACCCTTTAAGAGGGTGCCTGCATTTCCAGCAGTCTCTCCCTGGCAGACAGCAAGCTGCTGCTTTTCACAGCCAGATATCGTGTGGGTACCCTTCTCAGTTCTGGTGCTCTCTGCTGGGGGGGGGGGGGTCCAGCTTGGGGATTAGACCCCAGAGTTCTCAGTGGCAACCCCCTACAGCTGAGATATCCCTCTGGAACTTCAGCTGCTGTCTGTGGAGGCTCGGCCAGCCCTTTCATGCCTTTGCCCCTCCTACCAGTCTCTATGTGGTCTCCACTTTCTGTCCTTGATTATCAGGGTTCTCTCCAGCGAGTCTTCAGTTGATTATTTAGGATTTTTTTTTTTTTGTATTTTAGTTGTAATTCCAGTTTGGTCCTGTAGCGTGTCTATGTAGCATCCACTTACTGCACTGCCATTTTTAATCTGGAAAAGCATTTTAAAAGAATAAAAATCTCACCTAATCTCACTTTTGGAATTAGTCTTTTCAAGTTATTTTTATATCTGATGATAGCAGACACCCCTCCCCCCACCATGGAGAAGCACAACCCCAGAGAGTCATTTCCACTTCTCTTTTTAAAGTTGACTATCTTTTGGTTTCTGAAATTCAAGTACATTCCAAACAGTATAGCAATTTATCAGTTGAGGCACACCTGTTTCTCCCACCTTTGCAGACAGAGAATGCTATGACTTTAAAAAATAGGGTTACATCTTATAGGTAGTACTTGCTTAGAAAATAATAAAAAAAATACTAGGAGTCACTTACAGAGCTAGTCATTTTTGTGGCCACTCAGAAACATGCTTCCTTTTTCTCCAGTGGATTCTGCAGTCACATGCAGTGTGTCGACAGATCGAGAGTTAAGGTAAGACATTCACAGTGAAGACAGAAAACCTTGCTACTGGCCATGCTTCTGGCATCCTCTTTATTGTCTTTGCTCTTACCTACTCTGATGTTGGGGTTCTTTTCCTAATCTTTTTTTTTAATGAATTTTGACTGTTTGACCCTTAATTTTTTTTATATATTCTTAATAGATATAAGCAACCCCTTGCTTTCCTATTGTTATTATACACTAGAGGCCTGGTGCAGGGGTGTGGTCCCTAGGCCTGGCTGAGGATCCAAGCGTGAGCATTTGGTGTTGAAGGGCAGGTCCCAGCTGATCTCTGGGCTCTGGGCAGCACCTGGGCCCCTGGGCCCCTGGGCCCCCAGGTGCCCCCCTCCACCTGAGTCATAGCGCCTGAGTCCCCATTCAGAGATGCAGTGAGTGCGACCTGATGCCACAGGTCAGGGTGCAGCGTGGGCCTCTGGGCTGCCCAGTGGTGCTGCATGGAAGTTGGGCAGGCAGGGTGCTCTCTCACGACCGGCCTCACAGACCAGCTCCTGTGCGAACCCATGGGGAGCCTGACCGGCCCCTGCAGTCCTGGCGGCTGCAGCTCGGCTCACTGGGAAGAGGCTGTGCGGGTGTGGGGCAGGCTCCTCATGGGCACCTGGCACCTGAGCACAGGGGCTTCCCTGGTGCACAAGCCCTGGCATCCCGGAGGAGGCTAGCAGGGGGAGAGAGGGAGAGCTCGGCGGACACCCCGCATTCCCACTGCACATTCGTCCCTGTCACTCCCGTCCCCAGGTAGCCAGCGAGAGGTCACAGCCCCCTGCCCATGTGCTGCAGGAGGTTGGTTGCCGCCACCCACCCCCAGTTCCCCATCCCATCCTGGGGCCTGGCCCAGATCGGGTGATCAGGGCCTGCTGGCCGCTGGTCCCATCTGTGGGGTGATCTATTGGAGCTGGGCCACCCACCCGCCCTCCCTCAGCGCCTGGGAGCTGGATGGTAATCCTGCCCCTGCTGCCACCACTGGTCACCATCTGCAGGGCGATTGGCGGGGTGATCAGGCCCCCACTCGCACCCGCCTTGGCTTGGTGCCACCCACTCAACTGCTCCACCATTCCACTGCGATCCCACTCTCGTCAGGGCCCACTGGGGCCAGCAGCACCTCCACTGCTGCCTGCTGCCAGCGCCTCATCGCTGACACCCGCCATGTTCTGCGTTGCCCCCTGGTGGTCAGCACACGTCATAGCGAGCAGTTGAACTGGTCAAGGGGACAATTTGCATATTAGGCTTTTATTATATAGGATTCTAACGTATGGCTTCTGACTTGCAGGAAATATTCTCCATGGATGTAGAAGAAATCTTGAGCCAATTCTAGATGGAATATTCTATTGCTTTCCAGGTGAGAACTTGCCAAACTGATTTCTCTGAGGGGCATTAGGCCTGCTAAGTTTCCTTTGACAAGTCTTTATCAGCCCCGCTTGGGTTTAGGGAACTAGATGGTGGAAGGAGGAGACTTGACTAAAGGCAGGACCTCTGGGCTGTACTTTTTACTCCCTTTCATGCTATGTGATCCTTGGCCAGCCTTTG